ATCCCTATATACATGAAATACAATATGCACTTTATTATATAGACATATCCCTATACATGAAATACAATATGCACTTAATTATACACAGACATATCCCTATACATGAAATACAATATGCACTTTATTATATAGACATTTCCCTATACATGAAATACAATATGCACTTAATTTTACAGACCGGCCGATCATATTGTATATATTACATACAGACAAACAGACATCGCTGAAGGGACACACTGCACAATAAGACAGGCAGAAACATGGCTGACATTCTTACCGGTTGATAAACGTCCTTAGGTCCAAGTACAGCGAATGTACACACATTGGACTTATTGGCAGCTGTTATTTCTAAACAAAAACCACTCATAAATGTTAATAAAACTGCTTTCATTGCTCAGGTTACCATTCGACTATTACAAAATACTGATTCTTTTACATAGCGCTCTCCGATTTTTCACAGGAAGTTTGAAAGAAACAATTAGAAGCATTTTTTTTTTTTCTTTACAGTTTAAAACTGTTACAAGAAGTATTTATGCTTCGAACATGTTTTCAGAGAAGTTTGTAATTTTGTCCCTTGGACATCCMATAATTTCGCCCAAATTCATGATGGCGACGGTAAATGACTTAGAGAGCCTGCAATCACCTTTATTTGTAGTATCAGCGGCAAACGCCTCCACAAAACCAGTCAATCGATCAAAACTCCACAGCTGATGCGCATGACCATTAGGGAATACTTTCCTATTGGCAACAATCACCGCTGACCCCTTAAAGCCGCATTCAAGGGCTTGGTCGTACGAGAAAGGGTCATTTCCCAGGGGTGGGGTAGTGACGGTAAGAACCAATTGTACGTTACATCGCAAGGCTATGGTCCTGAAAGGGAAATAACATATGATCGACATTAACTAACACTTTGTGGACAATAATATTGGAAATCAGATCAAAAGGGAGCTGTTTACGCCTTATTTACAAGAATTAATTAATATTCTTAATCCAGCTGATAACTTCTTTTATAGAATACTTGCAGACTTATGAAAACATTTCATTGGTAACCATCAAAAGCACAATATTTCCCATGGTGCTTCTTTCATGGTTTGTCCTACCACGTGATTACCATGTGATTACCATGTGATTACCATGTGATTACCACGTGATTACCATGTGATTACCATGTGATTACCATGTGATTACCATGTGATTACCATGTGATTACCATGCGATTACCATGTGATTCATAAAACCATGTTCACACTACCGCGAAATGATAATTAAAATGGAATTGGTACCATTATTTGAAAGGAAATTCAACGTACCCATCCTCTGATATAATCCACCGTTGTGATGGGTCTTCTACTTTCTTTTTGCACAAAACAACCTCATTACTCGCAGAACTCTGCAAGGAAACACATACATTTACCATATCTCATCAATTCGACAATTCCTCGTTTGCAATATACGGCCATGTTGGTTGAGTTTCGTCAACCAAGGATTTCTCATTAGTATCTACTGCTCATTCAACCAACATGGCCGCCAGTCTTTTGAGTGAGTGAAARCGAACTAAAGCCTAGGCTTTGCCTTACGTCCAGTCCTTCCTGTAAGCCCAGCACCAGTTGAGAATTCTTCTTCAAGTGGATAAATCCATCACTGTAATACCATTTCTGTCGATGGCTGGGGTCTGGCGGCTGCCTTGTATCTGAAGTTTTTAGCGAGTGTCTTCTGAAAAACCATGAAATTAAATTCACGAACGTTTCCTTACATTTTGAAAAACATTAAAAAGAATAAAAGTAAAGGGGAAAAATGGATGCGTTACGTATCGTTGCACATCATCGTTGTGTTTCCGTTATATTCACTTAGTTCGTCTTATGTCACAATACTATGAGTTTTATTCCAATGCGTTAAACCTTGCGTAACAATACGAAACATTCCGTAAAAATACACAACAGCTTTACGTAAAGACATGTAGCCGTGTGCGACGTTAGAAAACCTTGATCTAAATAACGTATCTTATGTGCGTAAACGTACATAACTATAGTTTCATAGTCTTACGTAACTCAGGGCATCAATAACGTAGCGTAACGGTATATAACTTTACGTAAGGACATGAATTTTCACCTGAATTTTTGCTGTAGATATGGATCATTAAACGAAACTTCATTATCAAAATCATCATTCTTGTCTTCCCATGATTCCTGGTGGCCTTTAGACGTTTTGTCATTCTCCCATGAATAACGTAACGTTTTCAGTCGTTCCTCTGCTCTCTGGTGCGCACGCTCGTGAGCTGTGACTGCGTGACTTAGTTCTACTACAGGCCTACGGGGAAATAACGACACTGATTACTGATCAACTTTAATACAGTCAGACAACTACTTAAATATAAATATACTTCTGATCTGGGTCTATCAAACTTTGCCTTGTTGTTCGGTTTCAATTTCAGATGCGAACACAAAACGAAAAAAAATGTAAGTTACATGCAAGTTATAAAAGCTATGTATATTGCGTTTTTCTTTTGCTCACAACGAGATAAAATTCACATAAAAACGTAATGGTACTAACGTAAAAATGAAGCACTAACGTAGTACATTGCCTTGTTACGAGTTCGTCGAGATCAACTCGAAAAAAAAAAACAACAACAACAACAATAATAATCCACGTTGCTCGCAATCAAACTTTGCGAAACGAAAACGCGCTAACTCATAACGAGAGAAAAGTGACAGCTGCCATAATGAAGACGAAGAATGGTCCACGTTTGATATTTCGGTTGAATTACCATACTCAAAAGACCCTGATACAAAGATCACGGATACATTTAAGAATACATAATTCTTTTGTTTTCCAGAGCCTCGTTTTCAATTCTTAAGTGCGTGAACAACCAACCAGCCTRYCATTCAACTTCATTAACTAACATTGGTTGCTGGTCTTCATCCTCGTCCTCATCGTTAGTTCTATTGATCATTTGTTCTCTTTCAACGGTGGACAAAACACATGCATCAACGACTACTTTAGCACCAGGCTGGACTGGACCACTRACATGAAGCACCAGATCTACAAACACCCAGAAAAATAGAAAAGTTAATTGTGGAACCCGGTAGAGGCCTTTATCAACAGCATAGGTTAGGGCGCAGCAAACAATTTCTCAACAAATGCATAATCATAATTCAGCAACACACCTGAATAATAGCTCATTAAAATTCACAATGTGCGAATACAATATATCTGCCTGTCGGTCGGTCGGTCGGTCGACTAAAACTCAAAATATCAAAAGACACACCCATTCCCCTCATTCAGAAGACGTTTCTAACCCCCCCTGATTATTTTAAAAAGACGAACAATCGACTGTACAATGCAAAATACATTTCTCTCCATTCCCTCTTCCAATGCTTTGTTCTTTGTTTGTCTTTGTACGACTTTATGRATTCAATTTACCTTCAGGTTCCCTGAGAGCACAATACTGTCTTATACGAGCRATATCAGACGCAAGGTTCATAAGTAAGGCTCGCCGTTGCTGCTCTGAATACGACATCTGTGGGTCGATCCAGGCCTCTCCACAAGACGCGTACACTAGCTGATCACGTGATAATTCAGATATGCACGTGACCTCTTGTCCTTCCTCGTTGAACAGTTTACGGGCTGCAAACGGKAGACTAAGGGCACCAGTACACTGATCTAGAAACTGARYGAYGTGATTTAGAATTAGAGCAAGCACATTTACGTTATACGACATTGTACAMCTATTTCAAAGAAGTTTGTCCAAGCAAATGGACAATGCACGACCGAAAGACACTATGGGTAGTAAGGCAGCCAACGAAASATACCAATACAATGCACTCATGGTACAGTATATCTCCATGGATACTCACTAGTTGCAGTTCTATTTTCTTTAAATCCAAAGGATGACAAGAATCAGGTTGATATACTCCTGGTGACTCGTCRGACGGCGGCTTATCTTGCTTTCGACTGGAATACAATGACCAATAMAATAATAAGCACTAARTKTCTATCGTACGTTGGTCTRTATTGGCCTTTCAAACAAACGAATGAACGCACTGAGTACCTTTTGTTTTTCTTGGAATTAGGACTGACATCATGCCACATCTACAATAAATATTGCTACATGTCAGTATTGCTTGGAATAATAGGTTAGAGCATGAGAATCTACTAGAATCAATAAAACTAAATGAGGCTTTACAACACTTTCACGTYAGTCGCATTTAACGAAAGACCCGCTAACAAGCGCRCTCGTCCTCAGAATCGGCTTATTTTGCACAATTTGGATAAATATTACAGTGTGTTTATAAATATAAGAATAAATGACAAGGAAGTATAAGACAATGAAAAAGAAAACAATTTTGGTGAAATAGTAATGTGCGTAGAGGCCAGAGTAGAGCGCTTGTTGGCCACTACCACAGAGGTTAGTACCATGATTTTACAGATGTTAATTGTCCAGTAATACATCCTTGCATTATTACTGGTATCACATACAAATACCTAGAGATCTTACATTGGTTAAATCTGGACCAACGACTATAACAGCATGGGACTCGTCAGAATCACCATTCTTCAGCACACGAAGTCTGCATGCTGATCCTAAACAAAGACAATATGTGATGCAACATTAGAAAAATGAAGGGGGATGGGGGAGGGTTGTGGTGGTGGGAAAACAAAGTACATTCAGGCTTTCAAATTACAAGAGAAAACACTATGCCAGCAAAATTTGTAAGAAATTATACATAAATAAGTACACGAGACTGCAATGAAATAGTATCTTCTATTGTATCGTGAACCATCTGATTAAAGCTTCTAAACGATGAAATTATTCTGTAACTTACAGCATTTAAATCTTCATCCCGCTATTTGAACATTGTTATTCATAATTGTTGTACAGTGTTGTACAGGGATTTAGTTTCAGTCTCGGGGATCGTCAAAGAATAAAAATTAAATAAATAAATCGAAAGGCAGGCAAGTTGCATACCTGGTAGATTACTTTTTTTCTCAGAAGCTCGTTTCACAGGAGGAGCAAAAGGCAATAGAAAACCCTCCATTGGCCAGGCAAACTCCTGCAAATACACAATATCASTATACAATAATTGTATTTTATTAAAATGTTATGRGATCGGAAAATAGTGAAAYCATCAAAGCCAACTCCGAAGGGGATTAGAAAGTACTCAAAYTTAATTTTACTTAACATCTTTAATTGKAACCATTACTCGAGGTCATTTTACTTAGTGCAGACATAGTTTTGYTATACTCGTAATATTTGCTACCCATACTCCCTTTCGGYCTTAGCTTTCATGATGTARCCCTTGTARATCCGCTAGTTTGTTCAATGAGGTGTATACGGCAGTGGTACAACGATAGTKYGTAAGTTTATATGTTCTTACTGTATTCCAGTTCCCATCCTCAGTGACCGGCCATGACAATGCTTTCTTATTCCATTCAGGATTCGATACTGTACTGTGTTTCCACTGACCAATGGAACTTAAATCTTCCTGTTTGATGGCCCATCTAGGCATGTATAAATAAATAAAGGGTTATGGTCTTTCACTACGGATAGTTAAACAGATGGGTAATAAATGTGTGGGATGAAGGAAGTGAGGGGGGGAGTGAGGAAGGACGAAAGGGTGGTAGGGGGGAGGGCAAAGTGTACCTCTGTGATCCAGTATTGTGATTCTTTCCTGATAATTTATTCAGCAGTACGACATCATACCGCTGACCTCCATACTCAGTCTTCATGTCAGTCAGCCCTGGAGCCTGTTCATTGTCACCGTTGYMTTTATCCATATCAACAAACTGCAAACCGGTCAAACTTGTTTCTTTCTGTTCCTGTTCCSGTTTGTCAGGGTTGKCGACAGTGATGTGGTGTTTGGCTACGTATGTCAGGAATAGGCTTGGCTTGGCTAACGAGTAGATTTGTCCCGTTGGACTGAAYCCCCATTGCTGGTTKGGATCTTTTGACATCCTACAAACAGAAGGATCTTGTTGAAAAGACAGCAGACAAAGACAACACTATCGACATGACTGAACAAAACAGCTCCTGTTCTCATTGAATAAAGAGATACAATGACACAACGGCAACGGTACAAGTCACAAAGGCAGATGAAAGAAAAATGAAGAAATATTTCCGAAGGAAAYGTAGAATAATAGAAAGTAATAAAATGTAAGACAAAAAATATATCSTTACCTTTTTGTAAGGTGGACAGCGCATCCTGCSAAAGTCTCATCGGAAAMCTTGACTTCAACAGATGTTTCAGACTTCGTGAGAGCCAGTTGTGGCATTGCCTTGCTGAAGATAAGTCCACCCTAAGAAAGAAGTAACAGAAGAAAAGTATTATATCGCTTTTGTATKAAATTACAAAAGAAATACAAAAGACGTCAGGCTTCCATGAGCGATATAATGTAAAAATAGTGTTTTTTAAAGAAGTTTCGTTTCCTCTTTGCAATCAAGTCAATGTTTGTCATTTGTGCATTTTTTCGGTTTTCTTTTTCTTTTTTTGTAAGATCATGAAAGATCATACAATGTATTACAATGATGTGAAATAGATTCACAAACACGATTCTCAACAAATGCGCCTTGAATTGGTATTTCAATATTACCTGAGTGATGAYCCATTCCTGAGCATCGGGAGGCCATACGTCCTTAGCTCCTTTCTTCTTCTTCACCTCAGCACCAACCTCAGGATACAACACTAAGTTCTTCTTCTCTCGATGCTGCAGAAAGCAACCATTCTCATCGACGCGTCCCTTCTGTAACCCCTCAGCATATGCAAGTCTCTGTGGACCTGACATCTCGTGATTGACAAGCTGTCGCTTGCTGCTTGGAGGGAARCCAGTGATTGCCTTCCAGGCCGTCGGTCGGTCTCGTCCTTTCTCATCATCCATGATGGCTTCTCGTTGGATGATTTCTACCTCATCCCACAATGACATGCACGATGCTTTGTCCAGATTCAGCTGGAGTACCATGACTACGAGAAAACATTTTAATCGTTATCAGAAGTCGAAAATACACACATGGGATATTGTGACATTTTGGACTATTCATTTAAGGATCTACGGGAGATGTCTTCCATTCCTAGGTCCTTCATAAAAATAAAGAACCGAACGAGGTTCTGTCCGCAAGAGTTTGCTTTTACCGACTAAATACAGTAAAAACCCGCGTATAAGAACCTAACATTTAAGAACCTGTTAGGCTAAAATTTCATTTTTAAGCACCCTTYACATAAGAACCATTTTAGGCTGAAATTCTAAAACAGGTTCTCATTTTGAAAAAAAAGGAAAAAATAATCTCAATAGAAAAAAATATTCTCAAAAATATATTTATAATACAGTCTGTACACACTGGTTATAGTAGGTACGGCATAGWTACAAAATAACTTGTCAGTGAACATTCTAAAGAGAAACTTTATCATGCTATGTTGTTTTGCATACAAGATTTWTCAGAAAGGTTATGGAATAGGTTTGATTTTAACAGTATTGTAGTACATTGCTTACTGAAGCCTCCAAGAATACTGTTATCAGACATATAAGACCACATCATTTAAAAATTCTTAGAACCTAATTAAGAACCTAGTTTGCCTAATTTTACTCTAAATATCATTTATATAAGAACCTGTTTAGGCTAACTTGAAAAAACCTAGTAGGTACTTATACGCGGGTTTGTACTGTATAGCACAGCCTTGGACAAATCATGGTCGCGTATGAACGCCCCTATACGTACCAGTAAGGGGTTTGAAGTCTTCACCATACGATAGCCATATTTCCTGRTCATATTCCAAATCATAAACATTTTTAACTTCAGTACCATCTCGCAGGAAAACCCTCTTAGCAATACGCCTACCAGCTGGTCCACCACTGCCATCACCAACACGCTGAGTACTGGTGCAGGTATCYAGGAAACGGTGCATCAATTGTGCCATATCACCTTGGATACCTTTCTCTGCTTCAGCGAGGTTGAAAAAGATRATAACCTGGCCGTCAACGCGACCATTCTCAAATACCTGTAAGTAGTTGTAACAGGTTAAGCTCACTTCACTACAATATAAATTATATATCAAAATGACCGCAAGAACTAGCATAATGTAATGAATACTCTGAACATCAACTCATATAAAAATAGTTTGTGTATACGTAGCCACAGTAGTAAGTGTAGTGCGGTATCACAGAATGGTTTATTCTACGCGTGCAACTTTGGAGATGTCGGCGGAGGTGTCCATGCCTCTAGATCAATTGATATGGTTTTGAGAATATCATAAATCCTGCGCTGAATAGTTCATTTAATGCTATGGGAAAATTGCTTTGTTTAAAGGCCAYCAATACAGCCATTTAAATCTTGTGCACATTTGTCCAAATATGTTTTTATTAAAGTGGCATACATAAGCCTACATACCTTAAGGCGTAGGCCCTGTTTGCCTAGTAATCTACTTTGAGCGTTTATCTCTGAGATATGTTGGTATTTATAAGTGTCCATGCCGCTTTCATCATCAACACTGCCTTGTAAAGACTTGATTTGTTTCTTCATCATAGGAATTACAGCTGATAGCTCAGATATGTGATCATCAACCTACGCRTTGAATACAGTTGAATTTAGTGTACAATTTTAAGCACACTTTTTTTTACTTTA